AGAGGCAGTCTTGTAAATAAAACTAATTCAAATTGTGCTTGAATGAGCACAAATCACACCAAGGCAGAACTTTGCAATTACGCTTGCACACTTGACACAGAATAATCAAGAGCTTGCATCGTTATAAACCACGTCCTACATCGTGGACGGGAATTTCTCCAGAATATAAATAAAATAAATATTTATCTTAAATGTTATTCTGGCTATACTGCTTGGAATAGATTTTACTAGTCACATTTAAAAAGTTGTGAAGGGATTATCAGATTTTTAAGTATTTACGTAGCCATTTATGTAAATTTTTCACTTCATCATATCATTTCGCAATTATCAGTGTTGCGTCTGGGTCAGACAGAGGATAGGCACACCAAAATTTATTATTTATTGTTTTATATTTATGCTAAGTTGTCTGTACGTCTTTTCATATTACTATAATAGCCTGTTTCGTTTAAAAGTTCAACTAAGTTTTCGTTAATTAAAAAAAAAAGAAAGTATTCTAAGTATTCTGTTTCAATGAAGAGGATGGAGTCCAATTAAATCCCAGGCCGAGAGATAAACGCTACAAAGGTGTCAAGTGTCGGAGATATCGACAGTCGTAATTAAATAGGATTAGGTTTCAGTAGGTAGAGAGGATTTGGGAACCAGTTTCATATCGGTATCAACCATCTTGTTGACTAAGAAAAAGAAGTATTCCCGTTCTGTTGAGGATGGATAAACATGATGGCGGTGAAAGGAGAGTGACCTTTCCAACACCCTAGGCCTCAAAATTCTTACCTGAGTCTGAGACCACCCCTTCTTTTATTGGAAAGCTTATTAAAATAACGACAAATCGTTTCTGCTCCCGATAATTTTGAAAGTTTAATTGTACAATAAAGATTTCAGTGAAATCGGACTTAAGGTCGCAATTTAAGGGTTTTGCTCTAAGAACCTTTTAATTAAACGACGATGATACGCACTATTTGGCCTTAATTATAATTTTAGCGACTTGCTGCGTCTCAGTTCTCGGTATGCGGCCTATTTCATAACTTTAAAATTACAGAAATCAATAAAATTAATTACACTCCTTCAGTGATATCTTATTATTCTTATTATTATTAAGTACACTAACACGCATAGAAAAAGCTTTCCGCCCACTATGTATCTGTATTACATAACCTAAATTGTCCTACTTATTAAAATGATTTACTTCAAAGAGGTTTACAAATTTATAACAAGATGTGTTGTTTTTGTTAACGTACAAACAAAATTCCATCAAATCTAAATTTCTAGCAACTGGAATAGTGGGACCTTTACTTATGTTAAAACTAGCTTTTACCGCGACTTCGTCCACGCGGGACTCGGTTTTAATGCGATGCAGTGCTAGCGTGGCTTTCTAAAGCTGCGTACCCACTACGTTCGCGACCCAATAGCGTTCCGCGATTCTGTAACCACATCAAGTGGAGACGAGGCCGCGAACACGGTCGCTCCGCAAGAGATCCGCAGTGTTCACCCGAAAATGTAAGTGTTAACATGTCGTCCGAGATGGTGGTTTTTTTCAGCATATATATTCATCCCCTATTTGGCTTTAGATTATAGAAAGCCGTCGTTTTTGGCGAGCAAATTTCTATAAAAAGAGAGCTGACCGTGACTTCCAATTTAATTAATTTTTTTTAACCAATTTCTCGCCATGAGTCTTCTTTCAGGTTCTTTTTTATAATTGGAATCTTTAGGATCCCACAATAATGGGCATTTATGGCACAGTTCGATAAGAACGAGACATTTTTCCTCCGGCCATTCCATGCTTTTGGAGATTGCTCGATGTGATGGATAGGCTACAAGAGCTGTACACACTACATAACGTTCCTCACTGCCGTTTACGAACCTACTGCGCTCCCCTTTGAGTTCGCCCAAAAACCGACAGCCATTGGGAACGCACTCGAATGTTCGCGAACGGTTACTCCCTCTGAGTGCAGAAGCATACACACTAAAGATGAGCCTGATTCGCCACTGGTTCGCGAGCATAGTGGGTAAGCAGCTTAATATAATGTCTCGTTTCTCGCATTCTTCTCTTCTTCAGTTCACTTCGGTCTACACATGATAAAAAATTGTCCATCTGATCCGCTTAGGGATGGAATTTCAAAAAATCCTTTCTTAGCGTCTATCTATGTCATTATAGGAATGCACTGTCCAAATTTCAGCCCTTCAGAACCAGCGGTTTGGTTTATGCTTGTCTGTCAGTCCGTGAGGAACGGTTTTATATGAACTGCTCAAAAATGAATAGGGATACTGCCAATTTTGTAGTTACTTTTCCTAGCATTTTTATTTTATTTGTTTTATAAGTTTCGATAATTTAATTAAGAGATTTTGAAAAAAAAAGTTTTAATTCCATAATTTTGTTTTTTGGATAGAATAAATTTTTTAAACAATTAATTAAACAACATTATACATTTTAACAATTATATTAAAATGTATAATGTCCTCTGTTAGCTAAAACCTCTGTGCACCTGCCAGGCATACCGTTAATAAGGTTGTAACTAATTTCATAAGCAATTTCACTCCATAGATGTTACAACGCTGTACTGAGTTGTTGCAGGTCAGCTGGCTAGGGGTTCAAAAACCAACCCCGCTTCCTAGTAGTGAACCCCGGGAAACGATCGTCGCCAGATTCAGGAGGATTCCTAATTGATCATCCATGTCATGGCACAGTGCGAATAGGCAGGCTAAAGCCGGGAACACACTTACACGATGCTACGCCATGCGACGCTAACCGATGCTACCCGACGCCCTGCCACGTTTTGGTAGGGTGTGCACATCTGCCCGACGCAAGCACACGCCAGTAGTCACACAGCGTTATCACAAATCAGTATCACAATCGCAACGCCTCTTTTGTTCTTAATGCATTATTTTGAGCAAAATCTTGTAATAAATTGTTAGTTAAATTTAATTGTTTTAAATAAAGTTATTCTGGGGTTTCGATAAATTTTCTGACTAACCATCATAATTATATAATTTTTATAAAAACTCATGAATTTTTGATCTCGGTTTATATAAAAATAAGTATGGTGTAATTAATATAACGACAATAATACATATAGTTTGAAATAAAAATATGGGTGTCCGGTTCTTTTGTCTTCGACTGTTCTCGATGCGACCCGACGAAAATCTGGACAGTGGGGATCGCAGAGCGTAGAGTAGGGCAGCGTGGCATAGCATCGGGTAGATGTGCACGGGGGTAATACAACCTTATGGAAAATCAGAGTTTGGGGTAGCATCGTAAGTGTGATCCCGGCTTTAAAGTGAGGTATTCAATTTCCCAAACCACTCCTCACTAAAAAAAAGTCCTACCGACCAAACGTCTCTCCCTCTCCTGTTCCACTATCCCTTCACTAGATAGAAAACAGCATCCGCCCCAGTCCAAGGTGTTATACGAACCGTGCCGAGTGACTCATTGGGAACCGGGGTTACATAAATGGCAGTCTTGAACGAAGCCTCTCTGATAACGGGTGACCTCAGAGAGTAATTAGCCTTACTCCATCATGCGGGGCTCTGATGGAGTGGACCTTTTAGTTCCCTAGCTACTCGTGGGAATCTTAGGAGTCAAGAAAACGAAATCCAAATAAATCTGAAGCAAGACATCACTGCTTCAAAAACTCACACCAATCTAGAGACAAGCCTTCAGATGGACATTCAGTCCACAGGAGAAAAGGAGAGGGAACCTCTCCCTACCGAAGAAAGACTTAAGATGCTACGTGGGAAACCAATCACCACACAAATGAAGGGCCCAATACCTTCAAGTAGCAAAACAGAAAGAAACAGAGCCCCTCTCGGGAAACCAAAAGGGAAGAAAAAGGTTTCCGCAGAGCTACCAAAACTCGCCAAAAATGTTTTAAAGGCAACAATATCCTGCACAAAGGAAAAGTCTGCGGACCCCAGTCAGGAAGAGGCCCATTAAAAGTTACGACGTTGACAGTTACATCAACTAACGATTTAGTTTATGGAATTACCAACATAACAGTTCGGGTAGCATTCGGAAACGAGTTAGTCATGGCCTTACTAGACACTGAAAACTTATCAATGTTCGACAAATGCCATAACGCTACGAGGAATTGGAAGTGAAAAGATAAAGACCCTTTGTTACGGTCTTTAGTTTATGGCTGCAAAAGTTTGGTTTCAAGGAGGAAACAAGATTCTTACAGTGGAGGCTTACATTTCTTTCCACGACGTCGCCTCGCCGCTCGCTCAGGTCCGAGGGTTGGCGCAGCGTTGTCTTTGGTTGGCGTAGCTTATGAAATTATCTTGTCTCCTCGTGGTGATTTTAAGAGAAATAACAGAGAGAGAGCTCAACACTCGGGTGGTACTTTACAATTTAAGGGTAACAAAAGAGAACATGCAATCACGACGGAGGTGTGAGACATGCCGCTGTTTGAAGCTTTTTTTAATGATCCGTAACAGAACCTTCTTGAACGGACCTTAACGGTTTTAATGGGATTATTGGCGTAAACACCCTTGGTACAACTATGAGCACAATTCGCATCGAGAATGAACTTGTATGATGTTGTTTTCCATATAGTCGACGACTGCATAATGAACTACCCAATGATTTTAAGAAAACTATTTATTTCCAATGTTGGCTTCCACGTAAAAAGAGGACGGATTGTGGGGATCATGAAAACCAACGAAGACGAATTCCAAATCTATTGCATAAATCAAGACGTGGTCATGGATTTAGATGTTGGTCTTCCGAAATTCAGTAGCATGGTTCACAATTTGAAAGAACAGTACCGTGGATGCCGACAAAAACTAGAGATGTGAAGCGACTGATGCTGACATATCATCCCGGTTAGTCATACACCAAGACGATTGGCTCCGGTAGAGAGAGAAACTGTGGAAAAGCAAGTCTAAGAATGGCTAGAAGATGGAATTACACAATATTCTAGTCTAGTAGTACTGGTGAAAAAGAAAACTGGGGAAGTACGTTTGTGTGTAGATTACAGGAGACTGAATAAAAAGATCATATCGATCACCTTTTTAGGGCAAAAAATTGTCGACGCTTGCCCTCAAAAATGGATATTTCCATGTACCTGTGGATAAAAATAGTCGTAAATACACCTCATTTATAACATACAATGTACAATACGAATTTTTAAAAACGCCATTCGAACAATTCATAAATTAGTCTTTCAATATATGATTCAGAAAGGTATACTTCTCCTTTGTATTGACGACGTAATCTTTCCAGCACAAGACAAGAACGAAGCTGTACGAAATTGAAGTTGGTTTTACAATGATGTGAAGAATACGGTTTAAAAATAAGTTGGAAAAAATGTTCTTTCTTCAAGTCATCAGTAGTATACCTGGGAAATAAAATCGGCTTTAATCATATGTCACCACCGGACGACAAAGTAGCTGCGGTTCAAAAGTTCCCAATTCCACAGACAAAGAAGCAAATACAGAGCTTTCTTGGGCTCACTGGATTTTTTCGTCATTCATTAAGGACTACGCTCTTATAACAAGACCACTATCAGAATTGATGAAAGAAACTACACTACATGTTTTAGGAGATGAACAGAGAAACGCTTTTAAACAACTAAAGACAAAATTAACTTGTGACCCAGTGTTAAAAATATTTGAACCGAATGCTCAAAACAGCATTGCATACAGATGGAAGTTCTTTTGGGTATGGAGTAGTGTTAAAGCTGGGAACACACCCGGAGTTGATCGGTTGATGCAAATCCAATGTCCAATTTTCCATAAGATTGTATTACCCTCCTGCACATCTGCCCGATGCCACGCAACTTTGCCCTACTCTACGCGATCCCCACTGTCCAGATTTTCGTCGGGTAGCATGGAGTACAGTCGAAGACAAAAGAACCGGACACTCATATTTTTATTTCAAACTACATGTATTATTGTCGTTGTATTAATTACAACATACTTATTTTAATGTAAACCAAATTAAATAAGATCAAAAATTCATGAGTTTTTTATAAAAACTATTTAATTATGATGGTTACGCAGAAAATTTATCAAAACGCCGGAATAACTGAATTCCCGGCTTAAAGCGGGAACACACTTAGCCGATGCCACTCTATGCGACGCTACCCGACGCCTTGCCATGTTTTGGTGGGGTGTGCACATTTATCCGACGCAAGTACACGTCGCGTACAGTCCACAGCGTTTATCACAATAATCACTATCACAATCGCAACGCCTCTTTTGTTCTTAATTCATTATTTTGAGCAAAACCATGTTATAAATTGGTAGTTAAATTTTATGAGCACAACCATCTAATAAATTGTTTGTTAAACTTGTTTTAAATAAAGTTATTCCTAACCATCATAATTAACTAATATTTATAAAAACTCATGAATTTTTATCTCGTTTAATATGGTTTACATTAAAATAAGAATGTTGTAATTAATATAACGACAAAATTACATATACATAGTTTGAAATTAACTACAAAAAATATGAGTGTCCTGTTCTGACTCTACTCGACAAAAATGGCGTAATTGTATGAGCAAAACCATGAAATAATCGGGCGGTCGGAAATCTTTGAGTTCGGGTATATTCGGCGGCCTCGGACGCCATATTTGTAAAGAAGAAGCCAACGAGTACCAACGGGGTGCAAAATCAACTCTAAACCGCAGCGCTAGTGAGATGGAGGGGAAAAATTCGCCCAACGCGACCAATAGCAGTTCGTACATAGTGTGTGGACCTTAACAATTCCGCGCCGCGCTGCTCCACCGACCTAGTGTGCGCCCAGCTTAAATCGGAAAACCGTCGAGACGTTGTTATAAAAGGGCTTTCCATAAGAAGACGGAGAAGCGAAGAAAAGGCATCACATACACACAATAGGTCTTCACAACGGACACCGAGGCATTGTATGGAGGGGTCATCGTCGTTCTCCACTGTTCCAAACTACACTCCTGTACCGTTATCGATATTGTCCTAGTTGACAAAAGGAAAAGTGTGACGATTTTGAAACAAAACACAGTAATCCCTTAACACTCCCGGTTTTGACATTTGCGGTTTTCACTATTCACGTATGAAAAAATAAGGAATGTTTTGACATTTGCGGAAGTCCGATTTCCTCCTTAAAATAATTCTTTAAAAAATGGATTGGAAGCTCTAATTCTTTCTCAAAAACTTTTGCCTGCTTTCAATCGTTCGGTTCCTTTTTTCTTCTCAGTTTGTTTTTGTCTCTCGTCTGGTTGTTTCACAAAATACCTCCTATTCCCAAACGGAACAACCGTCCCATGACCCATGGTGAAAGAATAAAAATTTTGGGCATATTACATTTTAACATTTTGTATGCAGGTCAAAGCCTTTCTTCAAAACAGCACAGGGAAATTTTAAACTTGACGGACCAACTTATTAAAGAAGCAATAAATTTCGACTCATCTTTAACTCAAAGTTTTAAGTTTAAAAGGGATGTCGAAGCCCCTTCAAATCCATATGTGGAAATTTTTAAAGAAATTAATTATTCGGCGAAACAACGAACAATTAATAGTTATTTCTTGCCTTGCAGATGAAAAAATACAAACAATTAAAATATTCAACATTGTTCGCATAACATTCGCCGATTTAACATTCGAGGCAGTTTTCTGGAACCAAACCCCCGCGAATGTTAAGGGATTACTGTATTAATAAGGTATTTTTTATTCGAATAGACACGAACCCCTCAATCACAAAATCCCTGACATATTCCATACGACGAGCGAACAGTTAAAAAATCTACTAACAGTTTCTGTCATTGGGACATAGAAAACAAGTCCTCCATAATAAATCTCCTGCCCTCGAAAGGAGGGGAGAGGTTAAGGGTGGGCGTTGGTGCCATGTGCTCGCTTCCTCTCTCTTGTTAGAAAGTTCCAACAGATATATATACTCCTCTGTACGATATTCTCTCATATCGTTTTCATACACTACAAAAGAATGGTTGCAACAACAAAAATCCAGCCATTCTACAGATATTTTAAAATCTTAGCCCACAGTGTCACCTTATATAAGTAGTATTTTTTTTTTTTAAATTGAAACAAAAACCACAGCACTGAAGATGACGAAAAGGTACAGGCATACCTCGACCCAAAATATTATGTTTTATGATTATTTCGAGGTCGTGAGATGCGGTCTGCTGTATCTGGACATCTCACGACCTCCAAATAATCATTGACTAATGGTCACTAAACACCACACATTATGTTTTATAATGAATAAATTTTCAAACTTTAATAAATAATAATAAATAAATAATACTTAATACATTTCTGAGATATTGAGTCTGCGAGACTATGAACCTCAAGTTTCGATCGTTTCATATCATTCTATTCCGTCAACAAAACTGAGAATAGGGATGGTCAGAGATGATCCAACTATGTACCAATAAATACTGGTCTATTTGAGAAAAATATGAATGTATAACCAACAGGTTCTATGAAAAGTATGCACGGATTTCCTTTGTTTAAAGGAAAGAACTAAATCTCATTCAATCCGAATAGGGCCAAAATAAAACCCATTTTTTAGGCAAACAAGGGGAGGCGTCTATGACCTATTTGAATGAATTTTTTTTCAGACACGTGTTAGACTGTTCTTCCTAATGAGCCCTAGTTTTTGAGAAAAAATATTTTATTTAAATATGGTTTTATATCTACGTTTTCCATTTATTTCAGAGTAATTACATACCATCAGATTTATCTTTTATGTAGAATAAATCCAATAGTACCCAGCATTGTATTAAATGAGATTAGAAAACAAAAACAAAACCTTTTCAATAAACAAAGTTAAAAAATTATTTTTGATAAAAATTCAAATTCATTAAGCACCCATTCCAGTCCTTGTATAGGAATTTTCATCACAATAAAAAATAGATATTTTGGGTTGGATTCCCCGTTGGCAATTTATCAATCAAATATATAAATACATAATATATTAAAATAAGTTATTTTTTTATATAAATATAAATTTAGAAATCGTGAGATCGGTCTGGTGTGATGTAGGTTTCAGAAAAACGTTTTCTTTATCGTGCCAACGTTTCGATCTTTATTGACATCATCTTCAGGGCCTGGGATTTATAAACATTGTTTAAATTTTCAAATACACGTAGGATGTTTATAAATCCCAGGCACTGAAGATGATCTCAATAAAGATCGAAACGTTGGCACGATAAAGAAAATGTTTTTCTGAAACCTACATCACACCAGACCGCATCTCACGATTTCTAAATAAATATCGATTAACGGTCACTAATCACTACACATATAAATATAAACTTAAATTTACTTAAAAAACAAATAAAAATATAAAAATAAAATAAAAATGCAATATTTTAAATTTTGCCGCAAACCTAAAATAATTTTAAGACTGAAAAAACTTCCTTAATATAAAATAAAAATTATAAAAAATCTAACAAGTTAAAATTATTATAAAAAAATGCGTAACATAAAAAATATTAAAAATACACCAAAATGTGTGGTGTTTAGTGACGGTTAGTCAATGATTATTCGGGCACTCTCAACACGACACATTTCGAATGCCACAAATACGCAGAAAACAAACACTTTGAGCCCTGAAGATGATCTCAATAAAGATTGAAACGTGGCACGATAAAGAAAATGTTTTTCTAAAACCTACGTCACACCAGACCGCATCTCACGATCTCCGAATATTACACCAAAATATTATATTTCTAAAAAATTGGTTTAACAAAATTGTGCATTTAAAAAACAATATGTAATATCTTGGACAAGTGGCCTGTTGGCAGGTAAAGTTTTCTTTTTGTAAAGATTACCTAGAAATAATACAAAAATGTATGTAAATAAATGTGTTATTTAGCGGCCGGTTGTTCAATAATTTGTTGAAGTTGTGAGGAGCGGTCCTTACCACTTCCACTACTTCACCAAATTATACAAATTACTTAAATTACACATACACGAAGGTCATATCGAAGGTAAAATACAATATGGACATTAATAAATTATAAATTTAATGCAATTATGAGGTAAACGTTTAATAAAATGTTGTAAAATATGAATATCAATGTTACAGTTATGTCTTGTTATAAAAATATAGATGCCGATGATGGGCGTAATTCCCAAAACGCCAAATAAATGTAAATAAATAATGTATTTACTTTTTGATTAAAATAAACCTCATGGAAATTTTTCTAACATAAACCAACAAAATTAAAAATTATCATAACTTGTAGGTAAAGGATTTTATAAGGGATCTGATCCAGTATAAATTGGTTTTTCTTCTGAACCCTCAATTCTCTGCAAAAATGATTGGCTAGCATACCTAATGAATAGAAGATCATATTTTGTAAAGAGGAAAAGCAGCCAGGAAAGCTGGTCTTTGAATCTTTCAACACTTATTTTTATCGTTGTGTCTATATGAATTTAATAGACAAATAAAACGGTCGCGTTTTGTGGGATTTCTTGTTGAGATCCGCTTGGTTGTTGCCAATTATCCAGGTCTCAATACGCAAACTCGTAAAGGAGAAGAAATGTACAAACTAAAATGCTTAAGTGTTACAAACACAACACATTTGGACAAAGATACACCACCACGCCCATGTGACAAACGTATATGATACTCTCTGACTGATGTTATTAATGTTCATTTAAACTGCTTGAAAAATCATGATATAAAAAAAGAAATGACGAAAAGCTCCGTATGTGTAAAATTAGTAAGCCTGTTTATTTTTCTATGCGGTAAATTCGTCGAATTAGGTATTTTTTGTTTGTTTAAGTTAACATAACGGGATTGCTATAGTTCAACCTAATAAAGCAAACGTAAATTCGGGCATCATTTGGGACAGGAGTTTGGAGGAAACTGTTCGCTCAACTAGCCGACTGGACTAGATCATCAGTTATCTTGTTACCACCCATTAGGTAACATATTGTGTTTATAAATTCTCCATTTCCCTTGGTGGTTGAATTTAATAGAATACGTATATTCATGGTAAAATCATTATGAGAATTTTGCCGAGCTTAGGAAGATGTATTTTCTCCTTCCTTAGAGCTTGGTAACACTTATCCACTTTTCAATTCGAAATAGATTCCATATCTTACTCAATAAAGTCGATATTTGATTTAAGTTCTTAAAGGCTAATAGCACAAGTTAATCCAATGTAAAGATGTTTAAAAAAAACATGCAATTCCTACAATCAATAATTAGGCAAATTGCCTGATTTATAATGTGAATTATTCCAAGAACAAAAAGTTTGATAAATATTCTTAAATAATAAATTATTGCTTTCTGAGAAAGAGGATTTTTGTTTTCCTAGTTGAGATGTTGAGGAACTTCTTTGATTGTTTTGCTGAAGAAGTTTCCATCAAGAATCTATTTGTTTAGTTCCACCGTTAGCGTGCTTGGGGCCAATTTGCAGTGGTGAAACGGTATGAGGGCTGCGCCTACCTTTTGCCAGTTTGTCGGTCTGTTTTCTTCAATCCGCTCGAAAGCACCCACATCAGAACTGATTTCGATTCCCAGGAATAAAAGGCCAGGTGATATATATGGGGCACGTTTTAATCTAGTTTTAAGTTGTTTTTGTGTTCTACTGCATAGATTTCAGCTTGGAAAATTGATGCTGTGTTTCGCTAGGTCAAAATTTGGGCCTTTGATTCCCGCCCCCACTTCATGTTTCATTTTACATCCAACTTTATACCATAGTAAGGCCCCTCTTATTAGTTTCAGGGTTTTTATTGTTCCAAACACCTCTTATTATTTTTATTCGTATGGTTCTGTCAAAATTTTATTTTAATTTCATTTTCTCAGATATTTTTGTAGCTATACCATTTATTTTATCCTTTTTTTATTTTACTGTCGCTCTTTCTTCTAATTGTGTGATTTATCAATGTTATCTGCGGGGTGATGGACCTGAAATTTGGTCTGTCAAGTTGGGCCGGCCTGTCACACACGTTTCGCCATTTCGCTAACTTCAGTGTTGGGTACTGAACAGACCGAAATGATCGACACTGTCGGAACTACGGGTTCATTAGCCTGCAGACCTCACGGAGCAATTTCTCAACTTAAAAATCGTTGGAAAATCCGTCTAGGGTGAAATCTGACCATCCTCGGATCGCCACACCTCCAATCAAGGTACTTTACGCCAAAAAGTTTGGAACAGACTGAATTATAATACACATTATTTATTAAAAATGTACTTTAATTTTTAAGGAAATGATCGAATTAAGAAATAAGAACATACAGCAACCTGTAGTTTTGAAATTTGGTCGTTACAGCTTTAGTCTATTTACCCTTGCACCCTTGCAGGATTGGTCGGTCCGGACAGGCAGACCAAAATGATCAATCACGACCAAATCGATAATGAAACAACAATGCATAAATGAAAAGAATCAGCATGATACCTTACCTTGCTTATAACCCCGATGTCAACGTTCGCCAGAAACGGAGAAATCTCACAATCTGTGTTTTATTCATTCGTGGTGAACTGTAAATAAAATACCTTTTTATTTCATGGCCTGTGAATATTTAAAAATTTTGCATTAATAATCGTATCGATTAGAGTTTCTATATAATATGATTTAACGGATTAAAGCCGGAAAAGGCAAGACAAAGTAAATTACTAGGACATAATGTACAATTAAGACACAGAATGTCGTTATCTCTTGTTTTCTGTGACCACCCCACTGTACTAATATTGGAGGTGATGAAACCTATCGTGTGTAAGTCGTAAAATGGAATTTCTCCTCGAACAGCCTAACTGCAAATTTGACAACCCTCTAATAAATTGTACATGTCAAAGCTTTTTTAACTCTCTGTTTTTGAAAAAAGCCCATTTGTAAGAATATCCTTTATCTTACAGTGCTGAGCACAGTGTCACGCCTAAACCGTTGCGGCCACCGACGCCCCTATTTTAACGTTCATATGACAATTGTTTATTCCAAAGGGAACAGTTCAACAGTACCAATATTATAAATTAGGGGGAGTCTGTGGCCGCAACGGTTTACGCGTTGACACGGCGCTCATCACTGTAAGGTAAAGGTCCCAGGTTCGAATCCAACAGCCCTGCATACGAACCCGACATACAAATGGGCTTTATTGAAAAAACACCGGCACCCTATGCGTTGATAAGACCTCTGCTGTTGCGAACCCTCTTAAAAAAAAAAATTATAAATGAGCTTTCAATTTACAATAAAACATTACTCGACTAAATTATTGTAACGAAATTTGATGTGTGGTATGACACCGACTGGCCATTTGTTCTTTCATACTTAATGAAGCTATTGGCTAATGAATTATTTAATATATTTATCCAGATATGTATTTCGTAGTCATAATTGGCCGTATTAATTATTTAATTAATTACGCTAAGATCTTGGCTGAGATGAAAAAGCTTTTGTCACGAGCGGTATTCGAACCTAAATAGCCGAAGGTCGTGGGTTCAAATCCCGCTAGTGGCACTAGCTTTTTCATCTAAGCCAAGGACGGATTAAAAGTATAATTAATTTAAAAAATTAATTAAAGTTAACTGAAACTTGAAATTTAGAAATTAAATATGCATTGAGACTTCTCGGATGCAATAGGTCCCGCTCATATTTAGGACGTTGTTGAGGATCCTTTTACAATTTCCAGCCTTAAAAGGTAAATAACCAAGTCCTGCCGCTACTTTACTCAATCGATGATTTCCTTTGTTACCAGTCATTTTGTCCCCCCTCCTTTAAGTGATTTTGACTAAATGCGATGATCGCCACGTGTTCCCGAGGCTAGCTGTAACTACTGTCATTTTCGTCTACAACTGGAAGTAAGCATTTAAACAGAAGGAGTCGTACAGAAATAAACGCCAACACGGCGCGCCTGCGCTCGTATTCACATATTCCCAAACACGTGTCTACAGCCCTTATGACTTAGGCGGCAGAATGTTAGAAATCGTAAATCAAAAAAGAAATTATGCCTTTTTCCTATGTAAGTGTTAGATTTACGTTTCGGCTATAAAGGCTTTGGGGAATTTAAATGGCGACATATTGAGCGTTTCGTAGTAGCTGGACATGGTATGAAAAGAAACATTTTCCTCCTTGCAGACCCCAATGAATGAACGTATCAAAGCATTTTTGAAGAAGGTTTTTGTCACTCGTACGAGATAGAGCCAAATCAAAAATTAAGTTGAAGCAATTGACATTTTCTTCTGAGGTCGGCGGTGTGATGATGAACCTGCAGTTTGCTCCTTTCCCATCATTTTGGTCTGCCAATCCTCGCTGTTTTGATCGGTTAGACGCATTTCGCCATTTTCCTTGGTATTTATCTTCATTGCGTTTCTTTTATAAGTTTGCAAAATAAGTGGGTTCGTTTTTCGTTCTACAGGGTTTTTGATGTTCCGGTCAGTTCGTTTTTTGATGCCATATAGTTATTTTAATCCTGTCTCTTCACAGATTTCTCGAGTTAAATGTGTTGTATTTGCATATTTCTAAGCTTTCTATTTTCTCCACCAATCCAAATTTCTTTAAATGGTTATCAGGACCACATTTCAGAGATTATTAAATGTAGATGGTCTGGGGCGGTTTAGAGCACGGCCGGTAATAATAGACTGACAGCTGAACCGTGTTTGACTAAAGGTGAGTTCATGCGAACCCAAAGAGATCAGTCATAGAAGCGTTAGTACACTATGAGAGAAGTAATTTCTAAAACTTACTTTCACACTAGGGATTTAGATCATAACTGTAAATAAGATCATCGGGAGCTAACACAGGTAACGGCCTTGGCCGTTTTAAGATACTTATCCCGACTATTTTCAAACTCAGGAGTAAAAACCTAGGAGTTGAAGTTGAAGTTACGTTTGTTATTTAAAACTAAAAACTGGTTTAAATTATAAAACTGGTAAGGCTTAACGTAATTTTTGTTTAAAAAAATTAGATTTCAATGAAGGAAGGGGGTCAAATATTCTGTTTAAAAGATAGGCTACCGACCTTTCCTAGGTCGGGTTAATCATTCCAGTTAATGAGATTTCTTCGTAGTAAACGACGGTGAAAGCGTTCTTGATAAGGAATTTAAAGACGATAGAGCGGGCAGTGTGTTCCCTCCGGCAGGGCAGGAGAACCGGTTTCTCAGGCCACATATTTTACTTGACCCTCCAACACACGATTCCTTACAATCCGTTTCCACCAGTAACTTACTACCGACACTTCCAGACTTTGAATTTTTCAGCTACCGACGCGAAAATTGTAAGCGCCGCGTCGTTATAGCCGATCTCGGACGGCAATTACGTGTTGGACGACACCTGATGAATTTAATAAGTTTTAACAAGCCCAATCTCCAATAAGAGAGCAGATGGTAATATATTTTAAGTACTTGGGGTGAACGCACCTGCTAATCGTTAATTAGAGTCGAGGGTTAAACATTTATGATAAAGGCACTATGCCCAATCATAACAAATTCACTCTAAACTCTAAAGTTCAACTCCTTTCATATTTTTTAAGCCTTAAGGAATAATTTCACTAAGTTGTTTGTTAAACTGATCGGAACTACAGGATCTGTTTACTCTTTCGCGGGTCTAGATGCCACTCAATCGCCGACACTCACTGAAGATAACGTAAGTCGAAACACGTTTAAATGATACTTAAACCCGCGAGAGAGTAGACAGACCCTGTACAGTGATCGAGTTATGATCAGTTTACAATGTATTCAACACTTGCAGACCAACAACCACCACAAACCTTGTATTGAATTAAAATGCTAAACCAAAATCTCTTTTTGCACAAGTTATGTTTTGTAGCCACTACTTCAAGTGATTGTGAAGTATTTCCTGAGCTTTTTTCATACAAAATTGCTGGATTATCTTGGATTCTTTTAATCCGCATTCAATATAGTCCAAAACGATATCTGACTGCAGTTGAAATAGGGATGAACTAATAATTTCATTTGTCCAGTGAATGTTCTCCTGCGAAAGTAATTATTTTGAATGGTTATGCTCCATTTCTCCAACCATTGACCGGTTCGACTAAGTGACTTGGAAGTATTTCCTTGGCTCTTTTCATACCAGTTGCTGAGTTCAAACCAGTGAAGCAAATTGAGCAGGGGTTACAACTTCAGATGCCGAGGAATCGTGGCTATATGATTGTTTTAAAATTAGGGGTAGTCACAATCTTTGTATTAATCCTGTTAACTCTGTTAGGTCGTGTTAGATCGAGGAAAAGATGACGTAGACTTGTAAGCATCGACTAGTAAACATTGCTCGATCTAACAGGGTTAAGCCGAATGGAACAGCGGTGTAATCACCTGTTAGCTGTTAGGACATAGGTAGCAAACATGACAACCGTGAATTTAACAGCTGTTTTTTGTTGGCACGTATTTTTATTTTTAAATACGTGTTAATTAAATCAGACCAATACATTAATTTTGCTAATTTCTGACCTATCTTTATGAAACCGGCTACTAAGTGGCGCCGAATGGCCACTTGCCTTCATCGTTGGTGCTCCATTAGTGATTAGCGAGAACTCGTCGGGGAGACGAGTCTCGGGGTTCGAAGTGAGATCTCGTCGGAGAGACGAGTCTGAAGCCAATGGGGCAATGCCCCTGCTTATATAGGCAATGGCTCTGCTCCAATTCGCTGTGGAGATCATTCCAGAACCTGTAGAGGTATCTAGCGAGTACCGTGGCAACAGCAGGTGGCCACTATAAGCACAACGCCAACTGAGATCCTGGAAGTATTGTTAAACCTCCCGCAACTTCATATTTCATTCCAAGGAGAAGCCAAGGAACACAGCCAAGGCAACCTTCTACTGGTATACTGACGGCTCCAAAACCGACAAAGGCACGGGAGCTGGAATCTTCGGGATGATCCCAAAGACCGAACTGACGGTAAACCTAGGCAAATATGCTACAGTTTTCCATTCTGAAATCATTGTGATTGAACACTGCGCCAGAGAAATGAAAAGGCTAGGAATACATTCCCGGAAGATAACCATCTTCTGTCAGTCAAGCAGAACTAAGGCAAAGAGTGTTTGGAACCACATGGAGGCCCTGATGGAAGTCAGTGACACTAATGACCTGACCCTGAGCACTCGAGGCATAAAGGCAACGAAAAGGTTGACATGTTGGCCAAAGGGGAGGGGGGTACATTGACACTCTGGGTCATGAACCCTACTGTGGCTTAGCATCCTGCCACAAAAGAATTACTGGAATGCAATTGCAATCGAACAAGGATTCTAGTTGGGCCCCTGCCAGGACATTGCCACTTAAGAAAGCACATGAACCGGATAAGAGTACAGACAGAAGAAACACTGTGCAGATACTGCCAGGAAGGGGAGGAGACCGCAGAACACATTCTATGTTTCTGTTAAGATCTATGTAGGTGCAGGTTCTTGCAACTAGGGAGAAGAAAAACCGCAAGCAAGATGCTACACTAAGGACCCGTTAGCAAAGCTATGGAGGCTGATAACAACCTGAAGCTGGCGTGTAAGTTATAAAAACAGGGGAGCACAATAGATCTATTAT